GATTGCCACCAGGTCCTGACCCAGTGACTGTGCTGCCGCTTTGCCTCTCCCCTTGTCCTTCCAGCTGCTCCTTCACCCACCTGAAAACTATCTGGGCTTTATTTGGAGGAGAAGCAAAGGAAGGATGGGGTAGGAGGTAAAGTTCTGTCCCAGCTGCAAAACTTGTCCGCCTTGAATCGTTCAAGCTGGGGTCTGCAGACCGGGACATAGCAACCTTAACAAAGCCACAGTAGGCCTGGTTGACACATGCAAAACACTGAGGGGGCGGAGCTTCGAGGACCCGGAATGGACTGCCCCAGGAGGGAGATTCTGGCTTTGAATGTTCCTTTGCGTCAAAAATTCAATGAAAACAGAATCCTATCCTGAAGTGATCAGAACGGGCTGCACAACTGGGTACTGCAGGTGGAGGTGCACATTTGGGGATGCCCCTTTGTGTTAAAAAAAATCCCCGGCTAATAGAAATGCAGCACAGGAAGCAAAGGTAGGGGAGAGAAAGGCACTACAGCCTCCCTTTGCTTGCTGTGTTGGTTTTCTACTTGCAAGGAAGTTTTTATTTATTTATTTATTTTACTTAAGTTCAGCTCTTACCACTTTGGATTGCTGCTTCAGACTTGCTTTAAGGCGAACCAACCCAACTGAGGCAGAGACGCAGAGTCATATTCATATGTACACAACCCTTTCTTCAAGATGCATGGTTGTGGAAAGGGCCCTCAAGTTGCAGCTGACTTATGGTGACCCCATAGGATTTCCAAGGCAAGGGCCGATCAGAGGTAGTTTGCCTTTGCCTGCCTCTGCGTAGCGACTAGACTTCCTATCCAAGTCTCCCATCCAAGTGTGAACCAGGGATGACCCTGCTAAGTTTCCAAGGTCTAAGGAGATCAGGCTCCCCTGGGCTGTCCAGATCAAGCCTCAAGGTGCTTACAGGGTCATACGCTGTGTAAGGTGAGTGCTCCCTCCACCACAGGCTTGTGGGAAACAATTAAGGCTGCAGCTGAGCCACAACCACAGATCCCATTGAGATACTGGCCAAAACCAGACTAGTTTACTTTCAAAACTATAAGAACCGCCCTGACCTGGATAGCCCAGGCAAGCCTGATCACATCAGATCTCAGAAACTAAGCAGGGCTGACCCTGGCAAGAACTTGGATGGGAGACCTCCAAGGAATAGCAGGGCTGGGGCACAGAGGCAGGCAATATTAAGCCACCTCTCTGAAACATCCAAGCCCCACTAGGGGTTGCCAGAAGTCACCATGACTTCCAGGCTCACAAGCGTGTGCATGCACACACACACAAACTACACTGAGAAACCTCATGCCCAGGGTTCCCTCTAAGCTGAGTTAGCGTGAGCTAGCTCACAGTTTTTTAGCCACCGGCTCATACATTTTTTGTCTCAGCTCGGGAAGGAGGGCTCCAGAGCAAACTAATTTATGCAGTAGGCAAATCGCTCACTCGCAACTTTAATGCCAGTAGATCACAAAGCAGAATTTTTGCTCACAAGACTCCACAGCTTAGAGGGAGCATTGCTCATGCCATTCTTTTTATCAGTCTTTTTTTTTTTTTGCAGTCAAGTCACAGCTGGTTTATGGCGACCCCGTAGGGTTTTCAAGGCAAGAGACATTCAGAGGTGGCTTGTCGTGGCCTGCCTCTGTGTCATGACCCCGATATTCCTCGGAGGGCTCCCATCCAAATACTAGCCAGGGCCAACCCCGCTTAGCTTTTGAGATCTGACACAATTGGGCTAGCCTGGGCTATCCGTTCGTTCATTCGTTCTTTATTACAATCATTTGACCAATCAACCTGTGCCATCCAGGTCACGAGGGGAGGAAAATGCCCAGGGTTGCATTAGCCCTCAGTCTCAATGTGCCACCAAGCCCCTTACCTGTAACCCTATATATGAAAACATCTGTTCATGGATACTCAGAAATGTACTCTTATCATGCATGCTGAAATGCACACCAGGAGTCACTGTGGTATAGTAGTTGGAGTGTTGGACTAGGAAACCTGGATTCCATAACGAGAGACCCAAGATCAGAGTCTCACTCTGCCATGGACGTTCACTGGATGATCTTGGTCCAGTCACACACTTTCAGCCTAACCTACCTCAACAGGGTTATTGTGAGGATAAAATGGAGGAGAGGAGAATGATGCTGGCCCCTCTGGGTCTCCTGCTGGGGAAGGAGGCAGAGTATAAATGCAGCATATAAACAAGCATTTGATGCTAGTAATATTTGATTCATTAGCCTGAGGCTGACCCTGCCCCTCAAAGATTCCAGGCTTGCACCCTGGATAAGCACTGCTGTGGAATGGTAGAAGGAATGGCTCTGATTTCTCTACCCAATTTGCTCGGAATCAAAGGAGCCAAGCGCACCCTGCATGCAGAAGAGCGCACTCGCCACCTGGGGGAGCTCTTAGATGACTGCACCATGGTAGGTCGTGCCAGCTTAATCTAATGTGCTCACCAGATCCCAGCAATGGGTTTTGCAACTGCGGTAGGGAGAGAGAGAGAGAGATGGGTGGTGCTTACGCCACCCTCATTACAAAACAGCCAGTTGGTACAAAATGTTTTCCTTGAGGTTCTGGGCTGAACTACCCAGTGACAACCATCACGTAAGGCCGGTTCTCTCGGAAGTGAAAGACTGGCTCCGCTGTGTAAGGCGAGTGCTCCCTCCACCCCAGGCTTGTGGGAAACAATTAAGGCTGCAGCTGAGCCGCAGCCACAGAAACCGGTCCTTCTCAGCCTGTGGCTGTGATTGCAGAATCCCCAAAGGCAGGGATCACAATTGGAAACTCAACGACCGGGGGAAAGAAAGCAGGGCGAACTGCGTGAGACGTGGCTTATGGGGCCGCGAGTCCCTCAAAAGTCACGCTCCTTCACGTGAGTTCCAGCAAGCTCAAGGCCAGCCCATGCTCTTCTCTCCCATTCAATCAACGCGTCAAAAGGCACCTTTGGCAAGGGCGAGGCAACCTCCCAGTCATGTTCTGAGGCCGCATGGTTTCCACGGCACCATAAAACGTTCTTCACCTGGTGATTCTTGCACCTATGAGAAGATGCCTGGTGGATCGGACCAGTGTTCCACCTAGTCAAGCATCCTCTTTCTCACTCTGACTAATCAGGTATTATTTATTTATTTAGATATGTTTGTCCTGCTTTTATCCCCAAAGCAGCCCACAGCATCATTCTCCCTTCCTCAATATTATCCTCACTACAATCCTATGAGCTAGCTTAGGCTGAAAGTATGTGACCGGCCTACAGTCACCTAGCAATATTCTGCGGCAGAATGGGGATTTGAACCTGCGTCTCCCAGATCCTAGTCCAAAACTTTAACCACTACACTATGCTGGCTCTAAAGGCATACAAACAGGGCATGAAGGTGATGTCACCCCATCCTGTTGCCCTTCTCCCAGCCATACGTGTTTATAGGTGCACTGTGTTCGAAATAGAGATTCCATGGATCCTTCACGGCTAACAGCCATCAATAGATCTCTCTTGCACAAATTTGTCTAGTCCCCCTTTAAGCCAATCTAAACTAGTGACCGTTGCTACATCCTGGGTTAGTGACCTTCAACATATGGACACATGAAGTTGCCTGATGCCAAGTCAGACCAATGGTCCATCAAGGTCAGCATTGTCTACTCAGACTGGCAGCAGCTCTCCAGGGTCTCAGGCAGAGGTCTTTCACATCATCTCCTACCTGGTACTTTCAACTGGAGATGCCAAGGATTGGACCTGGGACCTTCTGCATGCCAAGCAGACACCCTACCACTGAGTCTCAGCCCCTTTGACAAATGAATTATGCTTTGTATGATGGAATACATTGACTTTACCTGTCTTGAATCTAAAAGAAGAATGAATGTTCTTCAGCGTAGGGAAAATTCATTGGAAGTAGGGGAAGAAGAGAGAATTTTCATTAAAATGGGGGGGGGGGGAGAGAAGCAGCCTAACTTTGCCAGTTTCGACTGTACTTCCTGTCCCATTAGTGACTCTGAAATGTATTCTGCAGTGAAACCAACTTTCCTGTCCTGATCTATTATGCATCACTGGGCAGTGCTATAAATTCATGCATTTGAAATTCATATTTCACAGAGGACTGCCAAGTGGCCAGAAACAAACAAGTCCAGCCTGCTCATTTTCCCTTGGTATGTGGGAGTCAGCCGGAGAGTTAGCGAAGGGAGATTAGATATTGCCAGGCATCAAGGCACTAGGTTCAAACAGGTTTTAAGAGCAGGGGGAGCAGAAGCCCCTGCCAAAATTGTACTTTGGGTATTTTACTGTGAAATTAAGTACCTTTTGAAGCAGGGGAGCTGGTTAACTATTCCTGGGAGGAAGACAGCGTTGTTTACAGAGACCATGTCCTCTGGCATGTAGAGTCACTGGCTGCTCTTGTGCCTTTATGGGCAGGCTGATCCGCAGGGGAAGCTCTTGATGATCAGCAAATAAGCTCTTATTGCCTGCTAATAGTTATGCATCCTGCTGCTGCCTGGTAAAGGCAGAAGAACAAGCCTGTTTGAAAAGCTACAAGCCTTAGACCTCAGGGAAGCCCACAAAGGTTGTGGATTTAGCACTGAGGGGCCTTCTAGCAAGCCAGAGCATTTTCAAGAGAGCCGTTTATGCAAAGGCAATGCCAAAAGTGCCTCATCGCCCTGACCTGGGTGGCCCAGGCTGGCCTAATCTTGGAAGCTAAGCAAGGTCAGCCCTGGTTCCTACCCCCGAGGCAGCCCAGGGTTGCTCTGCAGAGGCAGCAAAGGGCAAGCCACCTCTGTTTGTCTCTTGCCCTGAAAACCCTACGGGGTCACCCGTAAGTCAGGGGTGACTCGACGGCACTTTTCACCACCAAGTGTCTGGTCATGCGCTTTTAATTGCCAGCACAAGGTCTCATGGCCTGGGCTCAAATGGCCTTTGCCCTTCCTGTGTGCCATAGTAAGGAACCATAATAGGTTTATTCTTAACGTTTGTGAATGGGTTGATGACTTACTGGCAACCCTTCTTCTATCTTTTCCAGGATGTCTGGGGAACTCAGTTCGCCTGTGAGCATATGTAAGTATTTCAAGGGATCTCTTGAACAGGGGTCGTTTCGTAGAAAAAGAGCTAGGGGAACTCATTAGCATAACTCATTAGCATATGCCACACCCCCTGACATCAGGGGCCCGGCGGTGGACCTGCAAGTCTGGCGGGAGTGCGAGGAAGCCCTGCCAAGGCCCTCCCTGGCCCCAGGCAGGCAGGGGTGGGGAGAGGCGGGGAGGAAGCAACTTACCCTCCCTCTTCTCCTGCCTCCTCCTGGATGAATGAGGGCCGGAAGCGGGGTGGCCGGAAGCAGGGGGCAGGGCTTCGTCATGTGCCCCGCCCCCGCCCCTCACCCGGGGGAACTGCGATCCCCCGCGTTCCCCCCCGAATCGACCTCTGCTCTTGAATATGACTAGCAATGATATGGCTTCCTTTCCTGTGGAGCCTCACCTCTGAGCAGGGGCCTTTTGTGTTCAGAAAAGGCATATCCTTGTGGGATCCATGCCACGGGGAAACTCTGCTCTCCTCTTCAATCACTGCACTAGTAGGGTTGCCAGGTCTGGGTTGGAAAATACCTGGAGACTTTGGGGGTGGATCCAGGAGAGGGCGGGGTTTGGGGAGGCGAGGGGTCTCAGCATGGCACAATGTCATAGAGTCCACCCTTCAAAGCAGCCATTCTCTCCAGGGGAGCAGTTCTCTGTCAGCTGGAGATCAGTTGTAAAAGCGGGAGATTCCCAGGCCCCACCTGGAGGCTGGCAACCCTATGCACTAGGCTTCTGGCTGGGAGGCACCAGGGAGTGTAGCTGTCAGGTTTTTACTACCCACAGACTCTTCTGAGCATTATTAAATTGTGGAAGTTGGAGAGAGAGAGCTGAAAATTTTCAAGCATGATAAATAAACCCATAAAACTATGTTCTGCCTGATCTCATTTAACTGGAGATGCACAGAACTCAAACCTGGGACCTTTTGCAAGCAAAGCAGGTGCTCTACTGCTGTGTTATGAAAACTCGCCATATTATGTGCCTTAGAATACTGGAGCATAGAATGAAAACAAAATAACCTTTGATGTCACCCTGTGTCTGGAGGGAGATGTGTTGTCAGACCACCCAGAAATCTGACTACAGCTCCGTCATATCCAATGCATATGTTGAAACTGCCCAGAAATCCCAACACAGAGACATTTAATTTGAAAGGAGGGTACTTTTACTTAAAGGAAGTTGATATGAAGGCCGGAAGGGGTCACATTTCTTTAGGTCACACAGGGTGCATTTCTACTTGGGAGTAGGCACCACTGAACACAGCGAGGAGAATTGGAAGCTTATTTGAAACCACTCTTAAGAAATAGCTCAGCTTGTATAGGCTGGATGAGAAAAGGTACAAGAAGTCTCAAGAAGATCCCAGAGGCAGCTAACTAGCAGGAAGGAGGCTGTATAAGGCAAGAAGGCTTCCTTTCAGAAGTGGAACTGAACTATGACAATAACTATACAAGGAGAATAGCAAGGAGCACACTATGCGTGGCATGGGAGATTTTTATTCGGATCTCCTCATGTTTTTAGTACTAATTTTAAGGAGGCAATAGTTAGGGAAGCAGTGGTGATGGGGAAGGGCATGTTTAACTCCTCACCCCACCGCCCCTGGGCAACTTGCCCAATCTAATTCCCCCCCCCCTCAACTTCTGACAGTGGGAGGGTAAGAGGTAAGGCACAGCATTACGGCTGGACTTGCCAATAGGCCCGGACAAAAATGTCCTGTCCCTTCAATGGAAATTGGAAGCTGATGCTTTTCAACAGAATGGAAGTTAATTAATCAATCAATCAATTAACCTTGTTTACAGACCGCCTTTCTCACTGAGACTCAAGGTGAATTACCAAATATCGAAAACAGCATAAGATGTACAGTCTGATATGTAGAAAATCAGGCTGCACAAGGCATTCAAAAACAGGATCACAGAGGTAAAAAACAATGCAAACAGAAAATTATCTAAGGCAAGGTGCACTATAAACAGTGCAGAAAGTGGATTACAAAAGCAGAAAACCATGCAGTGAAAGCAATATAATACATACAATGTACTTTACAATCCTAATCAACTAGTAAATAACATCCAATTAAGCTTCTGTTAAAGGGACAGAACAGGTTTCTCCAAGTCCACTGCAAACTACAGAGTGCAGTTCATTCGAGAAAATGGAGCAGAGCAGAGGTGTCAGACTCATTTGTTACGAGGGCCGGATCTGACATAAATGTCCGTTTCTCAGGCTGGGCCATGTGTGCCATCAAATGTAATACTACCTACCAGAGATATAAACTTTGTAAAGGACACAGCCAAACCCAATGAACAATGTCATTTTTAACTCAAAATATAAACAAAAGCAATTGATTCCTAGCAGTGAAACTAATTGATTTACTGGGGAACCACAAAAGCTCCAATAAATGTATTTAATTACATGCAAGACTAAGGTTTTTTCCCCAAGGGATACCATAAAAGAGGGAGTGCCTTACATTTCCATACATACCAGGTGCTTGCAGGCTGAGTAAGAGCTCTGGATGGGCCTGTTCCAGCCCTCGGGCCTTATGTTTGCCAACCCTGCTGTAGAGAGTGGACTCTATGGCATTGTACCCAACTGAGGTCCCTGTCCTTCCCAGGCTCTACCCCCAAATCTCCAGGAATATCCCAACCTGGATTGGCAACCCTACAGCTTTTCTGTAGGGTGAAAACAGAATTTTAGGGACATTTGAAAAACTTAAGTGACAAATTAAAAACCTCCTAAGGGGGCAGTTGGACCACTAGATAGGATGCTGAACTGGATGGGTTTGACTGAGCAAGTCTTTTCTTAGGTTCCCCAAAGAAACTCACCTTATCTTTACGGAGTTGTAAGCAGTGGCAATAAGTTGAAAGTTTGTCTGGAGGCTCTTTCAGTAACAACATTTCTTTTCTTGCAGCTGTGGTCAGCAGTTCTTCCACTGTAGGCGGAAGTGGCTACGGCCTCGGGGGCGGAGGCGGAGGAGGACGAATGAGTAGCGGAGGCCTTAGCCTGAGTGGTGGCGGCGGCGGTTACGGTTTTGGAATGGGTGGCGGAGGTGGCGGCAGTGGAGTCGGTTTCGGCAGTGGTGGTGGTACCAGTGGTGGTGGTGGTGGCAGTGGGTTTGCTGCTGGCGGAGGGAGCGGTTACAGTTCCGGAAGTTCACGCAGCTATGGAGGAGGCATGAGCATTGGAGGGGGAGGCGGCTCCAGCACAAAATATGTCTCCACAACCTCGTCATCGAGCAGGAAAGTAGTTAGATAAAAAGTGTTAAAAACCACCAACCAACCAAGTTCTGCCTTTTCTAGGAAAGCTCCTGATATGTTCTACTAGCCAGCAGCAACAGCCAGCCTTCAAGCCAGTTGCCCTACCGAAAGTGACAAAAACAGTCCCCTACACAATCACATGGCCAGCTGAGCAAAGACCTAGACCACCCCTGCCATTTTGCAAATGTTGGGGGGCACAATCCATCCGACCTGAAGCACATTATATTTCTGTTAAATTTAATGAGACAGAGTTCAACACGAGCTCCTTCCTCACCTATTGTAGTCAATGGTTCATTTTGGCTGGATTGGGCCCTTCCTTGGTGAACAAGAGTTGAATAATCTCTCTTTTGGAAATTCATTTTTGATCTGTGTTTTTGCTTCTAAATTCCACATCTCAAATCATCCCAATCTATAAGGCCTTCTTGTTTCTAGGGTTTTAGCCTGCAATCTCATACACAGTTACTTGAATCCCACAGGCCTCAGTAGGACTCTGCTGGCATTCAGCATTGCAAACGTTAAAGTTTAACCTTCTCCGACTTAAATTTCATTACACTATTTGCACCTTTGTGGACGGCTGATCTTCTGAAGCAATTATGTGTGTGGAATGAAATATACTGATCCCTGACTCACCCCTCCCCTGACCAATGTGATACTGATAATAATAGCACCATTTTATTATAGTGATTCTAAAAGGCACCAGGTATCCCAATCAAGGATGGCTGAGAATCTCATTTCTTTGGATGAGCGTGAACCACTTCGGACACCATGTGGTGTACACAGAATCAAAATATCATGAAGGTGTTGAGCTACACACTCCAACCAGTCATCATTTTATGATTCTCTATTGATTCTTTTGGTGTCCAGATATGTAGTAGAGTTGGACTCAAGTAACATCACAACGTTCGCTCCTCTATAGAGATCTGTAGGTTGCCTGTCTTAAATGAAGTATATGTTTGTTTTCTTGGTTGACCCTTTCTGCAAAATGGTGGTTTTTACTAGCTGGATGAAACACATGTTAAAGAATCCACAATTTGATCCCCAAATATATTTTGCCTGTTTTATAAGTGCCCACATTTGTGTCTTGTAAATAAAAGTACACTGGCTCTGCCTCTGCTTCGTGTTCACAATTCTGCATACCTTCAGGCTCCTCTCTTTTTTTTGCTAATAAACTGCATTGTGATATTTGTGTCCTTTAAGTGTTTTCTTCCCTGTAAGACCATACATATAACTGCAATGAAATTTCAAGAAGATTCTGAATTCCCCAAAATTTTCCAATCTGATTTTTTTTTTACGTCGCATAGATTCGAAGTCTGATGGAGCAATACAGTCTTGATGCATTTGCATCAAGCACACTCAGTTGTTTTACAACTTGTCCTTTGTCTTAAATTATTAAAAGAAACAGAGTTGCTAAGTCCAATTTTTTTTTTTTGCGGGGGGTTTAAAGTCAAAGGAAGAGAACACACAGCTGAAATTTTGCCCCTCCCCTGACAGCCACAAGAACACCATCATTTAGGAGAACCCTTTTGCCGCATATACTTTTCGTCTGAAATCGCCTCTTCCCAGTTGTTTTTCCAAGAGTTACTTCTGGTCTCATTCCAGAAGAAAAATGGCTGGAGAGAAGTAGTGTATACATGTGCATACACATGCAGGGCAGGGGAAGATTCGCCTCCCTTTCCAGTCCACTCATGCTATACTTTTAATGGTCCCATCCACCATACAGGAACTGTGACTCAGTGTTACAGGCAATGTTCCCTCTAAGATGTGGAGTCTTGTGAGCAAAAATTCTGCTTTGTGAGCTACTGGCATTAAAGTTGTGAGCAAGCAATTTGGCTACTGCATAAATTAGTTTGCTCTGGAGCCATCCTTCCTGAACTAAGACAAAACTGTGTGAGCCAGAGACTAAAAAACTGTGAGCTATCTCAAAGTAACTCAGCTTAGAGGGAACACTGGTTACAGGTCTTCCTCAATAACTTCTCACTTGCTCCTGTCCTCATACAATTCTGTCAAATACATAAATATAACCTGCAATTCAGGAGTATAAGGGAGATTATTACTCTCGACAGACCACCTGCACTCCATACTGGCTGGGATAGGAAGAAGGAGAGTGTGTGTCAATTTTGCTTCCTGTCAGGTTCCATCCCTGGTTAACCGAAGAACTTAGTTTGATGTCGGATGCAGGATGCAAATTGTAGTGAGTTTTCAGAGACCAAGACCTGAAGAAAACATGTTAGGAAGCGGCAGGTGGGGGGGGGGGATGTTAAAGCAAGGGAAAAGTGATTTACAATTTAGCAGCTGAAGAATGAAGCAAGGTGTACTATGAAATGGTGAGAACCAAGGGAAGGTGCTTTCTTGTCATACTCATGGTCAATGTTCCCTCTAAGATGTGGAATCCTGTGAGCAAAAATTCTACTTTGTGAGCTACTGGCATTCAAGTTGTGAGCGAGTCATTTGGCTACTGCATGGATTAGTTTGCTCTGGAGCCCTCCTTCCTGGGCGAAGGCAAAAATGTGTGAGCCGGAGGCTAAAAAACTGTGAGCTGACTCACACTAACTCATCTTAGAGGGAACACTGCTCATGGTTCTCCTCAGAGGCATCCGGTTGTCCAGGATGCTGCATTAAGACCTTTCATCTGATCTAGCAGGGCTCTTACAGGGACTGCTATAGTTAGTTAGGCATTGGTATGGTACTCAGGTAAGGGTAATTAATTTGTTTCCTGGATTGGCTGATTAGGCAGGATATGAACATGTGTTATTGTGATCAGGGCTGTAGCCAGAAAATGTTGGGTCATTGGGAAATCGGTGGGTGGGGAGCAGGAGAGGCAGAGAGAGAGGGGCGGTGGGGGAAGAGGAGAGAGTGAGAGATCCCGTCTGCAGCTGAAGTTGGCTGCGGAAGCAGGAAGAAGGCCTCCCCCCACGCCTCTCTGACTGTCGGAGAGGCATGGGCTTGTTGGGTAGTCTTCCTGTTTCCACAGCCAACTTTAATACGGGAAAGTGGAAGTGGATGAGATTGACTGGGGGAGGCCATCATGGAGTCAGGGATCCCAGTGATTGGGAGACGTGGGGGGGCATGGAGGTAGTACAAGGTATTGTAAGGGAAGGAGGTGGAGATATGGTTATGCTCGGTCCCCTTCCAACCTTCGTCCCATCCTGAGATATGTTGGTAGTGGGGCTAGGACAGCTTACCTTTTTCTGACACTGATGTTGTGCAATGTCAGTCCACTAATAATAAGACCTCAACCCTGCAAAGCTATTTTGCAGCACTGAAAATGGACCTGGCATGTGTGGCCAAGACCTGGGTGAAGGAGGGCAAAACTGTCACCCTGAAAGAACTCCACCCCCAGTTTCTTGGTCTTCCACTAGTCCCAGGCAAAAGATAGGGGGGAGGGGTGGTGATACCCATTCGAGAGTCTCCTTCAGGCCACTCCCGGCACTGAAGCTCACCGGCATTGATTGTGTAGGCCTAGAATGCGAAGCTGAAGAGAGTTTGGCTATCTGGCTGGTGTACCAATTGCCCAGTACTACAGTAGATACCCTGTCACATTTGTTGGAGGTGGTCTCGGTCTGGGGCTTGGAGTTCCCCAGACTCTTAGTCTTCGGCGACTTCAGTGTCCATGCTTATGAGGCCACTGCCTCACAGGCTGCGGATCTGGTGACATCCATGGCAGCACTTAGACTCTCTCAGTTTGTATCAGGTCCCACACATCAAGCAGATTTGATCTTTGGAATGGGGATAAATGTGGACCTTTTTAATTGTTTTTTATTGAAATTAATTTATCATGGTGGTAAAGAAACCAACTGATATCTAAATACAACAAAGATAATCAATTGGGTATCAGTTAAAAGGTCACAGAATTAGACAAAATATTACTGGACCCAGATACAAAAATGATAGGCAAAATATATTCCTTCCTGCTAGAAAACAGATCACAAGACAAAAATAAGAAAACACCTTTGACAAAATGGAGTCATAACATTGGGAAAATAATTGACCCCCAAAAATGGGAAGGGATATGGATGAACGTGAGGCAGCTAAAGGTGGTTTCATTAAAGGAAAATGTGTTTAAAACCTGTTATCGGTGGCATTTAGCACCTGCTAGGTTGGCTAGGTTTTATCCTGGGTGTAACAATATGTGTTGGAAGTGTAAAACTCAAATTGGTACGCTTTACCATGTTTGGTGGACGTGTGATATGGTAAAGAAATACTGGAAAGAGGTATATCAGGTGATCACCCAGGCAACAAAATTGCAAATACCACTGGACCCCGAAATATTCTTATTAAATATATTACCTGACAGTTGGAAAAAGAGAGACAAACATGTTATGATAAATTTACTGACGGCAGCTAGAATTGTACTAGCTAGTTACTGGAAAAGAAATGAAATCCCGGACAGGCTGGACTTTATAAATAAGGCAATTGAGGTAATAGAAATGGACAATTTAACACAAAAACTCCATGGGAGATCAAATTCAGCGTTTCTAACTATGTGGTCAAATGTATATAATTGGATTGATAAGAATGTATAAGAAGATACAAGGAAATTCAAATGTAATATATTGTGTATATGCAGATTTATACCAGTTACGATATAGGATCGATTTTAAGTAGGGGTGGTGAGGGTGTTAGGGTGTTGTTGGTGGGATAGATGTGGACCTTGATACCATGGTCGGACCACTTTGCTCTGAAGTCTCGTCTCCCACCACTGCCCCATCTAGACAGCAAGCTGATTTAAGCTCACCTGCAGAAGCTGATGGGTCGAATTGGTTTCCAGAATGCTCTGCAGGATCTCATACCCCCTGGTGACTCATTAGATGTGCTGGTAGAGGACTGGCAAAGCCTTCTTTCTAAAGCCATCAACTAAATCACTCCCTATTGCCCTCTCCACTCCCATACCAAACTAGTCCCCTTGTATGCCAAGGAGCTATGAAGGCTGGAACAGGAGCTGAGACGACAAAGCTGCAAGAACATCTTACAGGAAATTTATTAAATTCTAAGAGATGGCAGGGAAGGCCTCAAAGAAGGAATTCTGTGCATCTTCCTTTGTATCTGCTAGCTCTCACCCAACTCAATTATTTAGAATAATTACGTTGTTAACATTCCTTACACAAGGAAGACAAAAAATAGTAATTTGGCAATCAGCTGGGAGGCCTTTGTGAGCTATTTTGCAGATAAATTCCTGCCACTCTGCCATGACCTGCAAGCCAACATTGACACAGTATGGGAACTGGAGGCCCCTTGGCTGTCTTCAGGTCCAGTAATGGACCACTTCAGCCGACTCTCCCGGGATGAGGTCAACAGGATTCTGGGAGCTGTGAAGCCCACCACTTGCATCCTTGATCCATGTCTGTTGTGGCTGGTGAAAACCGGCGGTGATGCGATACAGATACTCTTGGCACATATAATCAATTTGTTCCTGAGTTTAGGGACCTTCCCAGGGACTTTAAAGGAAGCAGTGGTGAGGCTGCTCTTAAAGAAGCCATCTCTAGATCCAACTGATCCAGCCAGCTACGACCCAGTTTTGAACCTTCCATTCCTGGGTAAGGTAGTTGAAAGAGCAGCGGTGGAACAGCTCCAGGCTTTCCTGGATGACTCCTCTATCCTGGACCCATTCCAGTCCAGTTTCTGCCCAGGCTATGGAACAGAGATTACTTTAGTTGTCCTCATGGACAATGTCTGTAGACATCTGGACCAAGGTGGATTGGGGGGTGCTGCTACTGCTCGATCTGACAACAGTGTTCAATACAGTCAATCATGATCTTATGAACTTGCCAATGTGGAAATACGCTGCTCAGCCTTACAGTGGCTTGTCTCGTTTCTCCATGGTCAGGGACAGAGGATGGCACTTGTAGACAGGGTTTCACCAGGTTACCCATTGGTATGTGGCATCCCACATGGGGCGATCCTCTCTCCCATGTTATTCAACATCTATATGTGCTCCCTCACCCAACTGGTGCAATGTTTTGGGCTAAGTTCTCATCAGTACACTGATGACACCCAGCTGTATCTGTATCTGCTGATGGACAGCCGGCCGGACACCACCTCAGATACACTAGCCATGGGCTTGGAGGCTGTGGCTGATTGGTTAAAACAGTCTACTGAAACTGAATCTAGCAAAGACAGAGGTCCTGTACCAGGGCCGGGGGGGGGGGGACATGGGATTGGAGATCCAACTTCTGTCTCTTGAT